AGGTTTCGTCAAAAATACTCCGCTACGCATCGTATTTTCAGCTCTCTTCTCAGTGTTTGGATATGTGTTCAAACACGGTCTTTCGTGTTTGATATATTACTTAACCAGTCACTAACGTAACAAAAGTTCATCTCCTACTTACATGTACTTCATCAGGTGCTCGAGGCTCATGGTTCAATAACAAGTAATTAATTTTTCCCGTCTCATGACTCCCGTTGAGAGCCACGGGAGGCTGAGTTAGGGATTCAATAACGTTGCCTCTAGAGGGGAGAAAAACCTTGATGTGTCTTTGCGAGGAAATTAAAGCTAAGTCACTCTTCTTCATTCACAAAAGCAATGACAGCTGGTAAAACCCTCTGTCTAGACGAGCCTTTTGTGTCTACACGGTACTTTAATTTGATCTCCGGTTTGGCTATTTGTTTCTCTTTTCCCAATAAGCAGCCTTTCGATTTTTCATTCAAACTCGTTGTGTTTCATCTTTACGTTAAATTGGTTAAAAACAGTGATACCACGTCTTAAAAGCACTAATAGTACAGCGTGTTTCTCTCATTCATCATCCCCTTATGTGCGGGCTATAGCAGGTTACACTGATACATGATAAATCCTAGTCCAGTAGTTTTGTACTGCATCAGGATCAGTGTCCAGTTTCAGATACCTCATGGGTTATATGAAGTGTTTGGGGTATTTCTCAATGATGACCTCTCCAGTTGTACAATATATTTTGAGAACTAAGTCGGAGTGGAACATATGGCGTGCTATGTTTCTCATTTTTAGACCAACAAAGCTATCATACGGGGTATGAAAATTATCGCCACAGCTCTCAAACTGCTTTTAATTTTTTTTATTCATATGGATCATTCATCATGCAAGAGAACGTCCTACGAATCTTTGAGTTGTCATATTGATAAAATATTGACAAACACAGTCACCAACAACAATTGCAAATTTGATATCAAACGACAAAAATTTAAAAACATTGTACAAAATTATAAGGCAGAAATCTTACCTTGAAGTTTCATCTTCGAACGTCTTCATATCAAGCGACTACATGGGTACTGTATCCTCAAATATGATCCTCGACAAAATTTTGGAGATGTAATCATAGTTTCCTATATATATTAACTTGAGATGTATACCTACTTAGTTTCCTTATTCTACTAGCGTTTGTAAAGCATTTATGCATTTTTCACTTCTATTCATATTTCAATGATTGCTAATATATTCTAATTGAATTAATATTTAGTATATTAAGTGTCTTTCAATTTTTCGTTAATATTCATGCGTTTTATACATGAGCCCTGTGGCTCAGATATGGAGGGCAACCTTGTCGTACTGAATTGACAGTAATAAATTGACGGATTGACTGATTGATTTATTGGCTGAATTGCCGCCAGTAAAATTAACAAGTGAAAAACTTCCGAGTGCAATCACTTCCTGAAAGAATCAGCTGTGGAATTCAAGTTAAGCGCTATCCTTAACCAGAACTAGTTCAGCTTATAAGGTGAAATATGTAATCAAAATTTTAGTGCACATTTTACTTCATACAGTTTGTAGTTTCAAATGGCTGCTTCGCAAGAATTGTATCTCGAGTTAAAAGAACCCATAAGCCATTAGGGAACTTACACATTTATTTATAACATCACTGCATAGTACACTTAATTTCTTACATGACAACATGGTGCA